GGGGTCTCCAGGGAGGGTGACAGACGGGGCGGTGGATTCGAGGGTGGAGGGCGTCGGGGGGGCTTGCGTAGTCAATGGGCTGGACTGAGAGGGCTGAAGCAAGGGTGAAAGGAGGGAGAGTCACAATGTTCTCAGGGAGTTGCGAGCCGAAGCCTCCAGCCACTGTCTCCCTCCGGTATCTCCCCCGCCCTTCGCTCCCTCATGTTAGATTGCTGTAACGGAGATTGGATGAAAATGTCATGCGTGTGTCCTCAGCCCTCTCCTCTGCTCCCCTTTTTCTACCCAAGGCTCCACCCCCCCTCTCCCATCCCTCTCCAACCCACGTTCAGCTCAGTTATAAGGAGGTCTCCACGCAGTAGAGGTGGGCTAGGTGAGGGGCGGAGGGTTTCACCGGCCTGTCCCTGCCATGATGGGTGTGGTAGTGTTGGTGGGGTTGGTGGTGATGTGGGCTCTGGTTGCTGGGGGTTACTGCATCAATGCTGTTTTTGTTGCCGTGGGTGACTGTTGAACTGATGCTGCTGCTGCTGTTGTTGTTGTTGTTTCGGTTGCACGGGGTCACCGGGAGGCTGTACTGGCGGTAGGGGCGGGTGGGGTGGGAGCGGGCCGGGGGCTGGGCAGGAGGGGGTGGCGGCTTTCGGAGGGCCGGATGCAGGTGCTGGTATCTGCTGAGCTCTGATTCGTCGTCCACGTCAGTGTCGTCGATCAGCGGGATGTTGTGGATGAGGTCGTTGATGAGGAACTCCGGGTGGGCCATGAAGTTGTGGATGGAGTTGTGGGATTCCGGTTTCTCCCGGCCCTCGTACAGCGAACTACGGAATGCTTTCACCACTCGCATCTGCCAAGAGGAAGGAAGAACGAGGGAGAGACCACAAGAAAGAGAGAAGTCAGACATGCAAATGAGGCAGAAGAGAGACAAGGGAAACCCAGAGACCTGTGTCCTCCAGCAGACAGACAGAGAGACAGACAGACACTCAGGACCAGGTAGCTACAGTTAAAGTTTATACAAGATCATAACTTCTATTGGTAACTTTGGTGTTTCGGTTTATTTTCTATTAAAAATTGACTCAGTGCTGCTCTGGAAGCTGAAAATAATCTTATTACCTGGATTAAGCTAACCGGCTAACATCTAAAATAGTCCTGAAACACAAATAGCATGAAGGAGTGTACTCCTCCTTGTTATGTGATAAACACTCAAACAGGGCCAATCATTTGTATCGCCTTGTCATGTGAGGAGGTTAACAAGTTAACCTTTGAGCCTCTTGGCATGAGTTTGCAACAATCATCAAATGTAAAGGCCAGTGTATCTGTAACATGACTTTGCCACTGGTTTTGTAGTCATGTCTCCTCCTTGAGGGAACACGGATCCGTCCTCACTTATCTTGTGCAGGATTCCATGGTAAGAGATCAAGGTCATCTCTGAAACTTTGTATTTATATAACAGTTACATAAATATCTTTACTGATGCAAAGTGTCAACAGAGTGTCCACCTGATCCTGTCTGTCCCCAACAGACAAAAAAATAAATCAAAATGATTTGGCTAATGACATATTATCATGTCAGTTCTCACACACCAAACAAACCGAGAGCATTTGGTGGCCACAATCACAACAGCAGCGGACACTTCACAACATACACACCATCATACCTGTGTGTGTGTGGGTGATGATCCAGTATGTTCAGCACACTGGGTAACATGCACGCACGCACACACACGCACACACACACACACACACACACACACACACACAAACAAACAAACAAACAAACAAACACACACAGAGGTGAGGGTGGTTCTTAGGCACAGATGGAGACGAATCAGGAATGGTGTGTTAGTTTAATGATCAGTAAAATAAAAAATAGAAATGTCAGGAACCTGTAGCAGTGAGTGAGCACACACACACGTGCATGCAGCAGCAGCAGTGTAACTGAGTGAACAGTTCAGCTGTTTCCACATCGTGCGGCTTGGAGGTTGGCGTTTGCATGCATCGGACAGTTGTAAATCACTGGTGCTGTTTGTTAAAGAGAGCTGGTTTATACACATACACATACACACACACACACACACACACACACACATGCAAAATGCACTGCAGCCATGCAGCAGTGAGGGACAGAGGAGAGCAGAGTGATTGAAATAATGATGATGCTGATGGTGAAGTTGCTGCAGGATAGGAAAAAGCAAAACAAACAGAATGGCGACATCACAAGAATCAGCAGGTTAGAACAGTGTGCGATTGGTTAGATTACTAGAAACAGATGATGATTGGTTCACAGGCCAGAGCGCAGCTTGGGGCGTCAGCCCTGTGTCAAGAGAGAGGCAGCCAGATCATGCTGAATCAGATCGTTGTCACTTATGCTCTCTTTCTGACTGACACACACACACACACACACACACACACACACACACACACACACACACACACACACACACACACACACACACGAGGTCTATGAGTGTACTTGAAGGTGCATTACGCAGTGTATGCGTGCGGAAACACATTCCTTTGCCATAGCAGTTGCTCCATGCACCCTTCCCCAAAGCCCAAACAGAGGAAAAGAAGCAGCATGAGCTCAAAAGAAACAGAGACAGTTCAATGCAAGTACAGTGACAGGCACAGGCAGGCAGAGCCCTACATAGAGACCGTTTGGCCGGGCAAGATCTGTGGAGGGGAAGCTTTGAGTCCACTGCGACACCCGCTGGAGTCCAAACTGTGGTTATGAGAGGCGAATGGTCGGGCTGCTGAATGGAGGTCAGTGCTGCAGTCGGCCAAACTAAGAGGAGTCTCTATATATGACTCTGCCATGTATGATAGACGAACAGACAGACGGTCAAGCAGTAGGTTCAGTGCTTATCTGTTTTTCCAAAGAGCCTGTCAGACAGTAGAAAAACACCTCATGCAGACTGAGAAGGTGTCAGAATGTTACTTTCTCACGTTTGTTTTCATTTTTGTCCCCGAGGACAGAGTAAACTTTCGAGTATATAACATTCCCAGTGTGACCAGAGCGGCCTGGAGGTCAGGGCACCGCTGTGTTACTTATGTCTCTTTTTCTCTCTCCCTGTCGGCTCTTTCAGCAGCACTTGATGGAAAAACAATGATGGTTAAAGTAGCAGAAGGAAGGTAGAGAGGCTGCTCATGGGAACAGAACATAAAGACAGGGAGAAGCTGTGAGGAAGATGGCTGCCACCGTGAGGCTCAACTCTGATGTGATGTGATGACTGAGCTCTAATCCATACACCTTCCTCAATTCAATGCGCATTCTCTTTTTTATTCCACGGAACGAGCGAGAACTGAGGGCGGAAATATTGTTTTTGAATGTGACAGAAGTTCAGCAAAGAATTGAGGAGCTGAGGATGGATTTGAGATTTGGCCTAAACATCCTGTTCCCCTCATAGTTTCCTGACCAAACTTCCTGTATATCTGTGTATTGCTGGCAGATGAAACTAGGCCAGTCTGAAATGAAAACAAACCGGATCCTTAGATCGGTTCTAAAGATCCAGATGGATCACTAAGGTCTAGCACAGCTCAGGTGGATGAAAGCATGAAGCAGAGACATCTACTCATATCATGTTGATATCTCCATTTAATGTTTAAGATGCGTCTTTCACACGACTCTTTTCTCACTCAGCGCTGATGGATTTGGATCACGTCAGAACTTACGCACATCATACTGCAACAGGGCAATGTGCCAAAACTGAGGGCTGGGTCTGCTATACAAAGAACTCTGGGTAATGGAGTAAAGTAATAAAGGGGGAGAAGTCAGTCTGTCTTGATGACAAATGGGAAATCATTTGGAGTGTATGCTTGTAGCTGTTCATCAGGTTGAAGACAATCAAAGGAATTCAACACCCTAACATGACCATTAGTATATCGATCACTCACTGCATGTTACCCTTGACATGCCTCCACGGTGAGCGGAGAATCCCAAATCAGAAAACAGAGAAAAGACTCGATGAATATGATATAGCTTTGCTATATTTACCTCAATTCATCAAGACTTTTCACACTTTTTGGCCTGCAAGAATAAACAAGTTTTCCTAAAGAATTCAAGGTAACACAGGGTGAGTGACTGAATTACAAACGGTCATTTTAAGGGTGAAGTATTCCTTTAAAGCAGTCAACTCCAAACGATCCCCAGGTGGGTCGCAAAAGTATATATACAAGTCGCCAAATAACAGTGCATAATTTCTTCCGTAGTCTTTCATTTCAAATTTCTATCTGCAGTACACCTTTGAGCAACACGAGGGAGCCTGAATGTTCGTGTTCTTCTGATAATTGTAACTTGAATATTGAATCTAATAAGAAAGACTAGCATATATTTTTCATATCAGAAAAAATAAGAAATAGAGAGTATGTTAACTCCTGAATGCATTTAGTTGGTCTCGTTTATAAAGTATTTAACGTGTTTATAAGTTTTCAATAACACATGCATAAAATAAAGTTGTGAATTATCAAACGTATATATGGCTGGTTCACATATTCAAGACAATAAAGGTGGAATTACATTAGAAATGGTTAGGAACGTTCATTTAAGCGTAACTTTGCTCTTCTCATGATTTATAGATAAGTACTGTTGTGAATTTAAAAAAGGCTCACACTGTAGTTTTAGCTGTAGCTCTATGAGCAAATGTTGTTTGTTGTAGATAATTGTGCATTTGTTTCAGTCAGATGCAGTAGTGAGTTATTTCCAGCAGCAGGACTGTGTATGTGGGGTTGAGTGAAAACAAACCACAGAGTGTGTGTTCATGGTTATGGAGGATCAGTGTCACTCAGTGCGGCTCTTTGATGGCTTTTTAGCCAAAAGTTATTATATGAGTTTCCATGACATTAATGTTCCCGTCAGGATGAGTTTTTAATCACGTTGGTGAGCCTCTGACTTTTCATCCAGACCTTTACCAGGTCAAAATGTTATTTTCTCGAACGACCAAACACCTACATTCCCATCAGCCTTGGCTCTACTTTGTGCTAAGTGCTAATTAGCAACCATTAGCATGCTAACGCACTAAACTAAGACGGTAAACATGGTTAAACCTGCTAATGCATGTTAGCATTGTCATTGCTGACATTAGCATGTAGCTTAAAGCACTGCGTGTCTGAGAACGGCCTCACAGCTACAGACTAAGTGTTGTTAATAGCAAACGGGACCAATTGTACATTTTGCATCCGTACGACATGAAGTGATTGAGAGAAGCAAACCTGAGTCACATTAAGTTCTAAGTTAGCATTCCCCTCCTTGTCAATTTATTTGGTTCATTTGGTCATTTTGGTTTGAGGTGTCAGCAGAGCCTCTCTGTATCTGTACAGGTGATGGAGCAGCGTGGGGAGGAATGCAGCTTGGAATGGAAGGAGGGAAGGATGGACGAAAGGGAGCAAGGAAGGAAAGGAGAAGCAACTGAGAGGACGGATGAAGACAATCAAATGAAGAGAGAGCACAACCACACGCAGGCACACGCTTGCACACTGACAAAGAAACGCACACAAGTCAAACTACGGCTCTCAGATATGTCAGCAGATACACACGCATAAACACACTTGCAAACGAGACACGTGCGGAACTGACATACAAAGAAATCAAGAGAAAACATGAGGTAAACGCTACTCTAGTCAGGGGATGGGAGGATGACAAAAAGGGATGAGGGAAAGGAAAAGAGAAGATACAAAAAAATGACAAAAATGAAGAGAAGCCTACTAAAGAAATCTTATCAGTAAGCTACACAAGAGCCCGTATTTAGATCTGGTCAAATCTAAATACCTCTACAAGAGAACAACTCTACTTATGAAGAACAATAAGAGTACATTTCACATAATATGTCTGCAAACAGGGAACCTGTAATATCTCATAAATATAGAAGGAAAAGGAGAGAGCAGTAATGGAGAGAGAGAGAGAGAGAGAGAGAGAGAGAGAGAGAGAGAGAGAAAAGGGGGAAAAAAACAGACTGCACAGAGAGAAAAATCTGGAGACATCGGAGGGGGGTCGGGGGGCAAACTTGTGGCGTTGGAGCTGGAAATACTGTTACAGAAACAACCAGTTGACAACAATTGCAGCACCGGACATACGTGAGAGGAGCAAAAGAAGGAGAAAGAAATCAATAGTGACAGAAGAGGGAACCGAAGAGCAGTGTCCTATGTGTCCTATGTGTCCTATGGGGCTTTTATACTCGAAGGTTTACACTTTAGAGAATTGCAGAAGCCACATGAAAGCCATTTGGTAATAAGTATGAGTAAAATCGAATCGTAGCATTTTCTACCAATAACAGGAGTCACAGAGTTGTTACAGCAACACTACATTATCTTGGTTTTCAGCGAAGAGAAATGACACCACTCCTTTACATTAGCAACGTTTACAGCAGGGGTCAACCACAGTAACCCCGCTTGACCTCATTCACAGACAGGAAATAACATGTGGTGCAGGAGGAGCAGCCATTTGCTCTCTGAACTTTAGGATGCGTCCTCGCCTTGTAGGAGTAAATCAATCACTACCTGTTTTTAACAGCACTCTGTCTTTATACAGTGCCCCATGTCATTCAGGACGCCTCAGACAGAGAGAGAACAGCAAGCTGCCTCCTTCACCGACCAACACGCAACAACAAAACAGACTCTGCACTGGGACCGGGACTGGATTTAGACCAGACCAGATCAGACCAGAACTACACAGCCGGCCGGGACTGGGTGCTGTTCGAAAGGGAGAATCAGAAAAAATAAATAGAGGAGACATTGCACACACACGAGCAGCGAGCGAGCCGGGGGGGGGGACACAACCATAGATAGTAAAAATACTGCAGTCCACGTGCCGTGCAGCAGTGTCTGTCTCTGTGTCTACGAATGAGTGTGTGTGTGAGAGAGAGGAAGTGGCTGCAGGTATGTATGCAGGTATACGTGTCTGTGTGTGTATGTGTGTACATGCGTTCGGCGGACTCACTCCCGGGGGCTGGGCTGGTATTGGCTGTTGCGGTGGAGAGAGCTACGTGAGAGGGGGTAGAGATAGTGTTTACGTCGTGGAGCTGACTGAGCACAGAGGAGCGCCGCCTCACCGCTCCCTGAAACGAACCGCTTCGCTTGAACGTGCTCACTACCTCCATCTGCAGGACAGAGACAAAACAGCAGCACTCAGTGAGGGCAGGAGAGGCCGGTCTGAGTGTGTGTGTGTGTGTGTGTGTGTGTGTGTGTGTGTGTGTGTGTGTGGGTGTGTGGGTGTGTGGGTGTGTGTGTTTGGTTGTTTGTGTGGGTGCGCACGCGCGTGCGCGCCTGTTGTGGCCCTTTAAACCCATTTTCTGTCGCAGCAGAAATGATAGAAACAGCATTCAAATTTCCTTTAAGGGCAAATGTGCATCAGTGTTGCACAACTGCTGTCTATGGAAGCCCTGAGATGAAAAATAGAGGAAAGCATTCTGGTGACCCGTTTTGTCTGATCTAAATTGTTTTCTCTCCTGTTTTTTATGTCTTAAACGTAGGGCCGGTAATCTTCTTCAGAAACGTTTCTGATATTGCTGTTGAAATTCCTATTACATCCTGAAAGCAATCAATGAATATAAGGCTCTGACAAAACAAATCTGGTATCTGTGGCTGTCACAGGCCTGTAATAAGCCTGTCTACCGACATGCCTGTGAGGAATAACAATAGCCATTACCAACCCTGCCTTTAAAGAAACGTGAAAAATAAGGTTTTGCCAGGAAAATCTCTCAAAATTTCTAAAAAGAGTTTAATCTGTGAAATAGATGGGAATAAGAGTTTTGGCAGGATCATAATAAATTACTTATTTTATTGTTCATTGTTTTGGCAGGTACGTTTTTTTTCTTCTCGTAATACTCATTAAAGAAACACAGCTGGAAGAAAGCCAGAATACTTTGTGTCCTATTTAGAAGGAGTAGTGGTGCACTTCAGCCTCTTGTGTGTCATTTGTTTTCACAGACAAATACAACATTTGTAAAATGATCCTGACAAAAAGACAAAAATCCCGCCTGTTTCACAGATGAAAATAGAATTAAGAAACGTCACCTGTTCTTAAGTCACAAACACAGAAGAGAACAATTAGAAACGTTTAGATCAGACTTTCTTTTTCTCACTTGCCTCTCAGGGCTTCTGTGTTTCCCATTATCATTGACAAGCAAGAATCATAAATGACGACTGTGTGTATATGAGGTTGTGTGTGTGTGTGTTTGTGTGTCTTTGCATGCATAATTGTTATCTGCACACTCAGACCAAACCCTCTGAATGAAAAACTGACCAATCTAAGCAAAGGCACTTAAGCAGAGACTCTTGACTGGATCTCTAACACTGCTTAGGAGGCTGTTAGCAGCTTGTTGTCATGTTGATGCTGTTTCGCTGTCTTAATGCATTTTCTCACACAAAGCAGTGCAAGGATCAATCAATTAAAATAGTCAAGCACGTCAACAGCCTGTCTACTTAGCATTAGCCTGAACACAATGTGTAGACACTCACGCACACAAATCACAGCATTTATCCTCTCTCATGATGTTTATGAGCCTCTAAAATACCACTTCCAAGTTAGATAAAGCCATTTCACCCGCAGAACAGAAAAGTTAGCTGTGTAGGAGAGAAAAAAACTGGAATCATTAAGTTTGGCACAAGTCAGAAGAACGGCACAGACAGGATGAGATACAGACTTTTGAAGAGCAAGAAGAGCACAGATAGTGTTTAAACTTAACTCAAATTGTATATCTGTCAAAGAAGAGTCAACAATGCAGTTCATCTCTTAAAGGACTTTCTTTCCAAATGTCTCTCATGTTAGTGTGTAAAGGCCATGATACTAGCAGTTTATTTAAGCAGTGTTACTACACAAATCAGGAACTATATGCCCCCAAAATAATTTGCATTTCATCATAAAGCACTTGATTAAAAAAATGCAAAAATCAGCCATTCCTATTGAGATTTGTTTGTGATACATAATTGTGTCTTTGGTTTTCATTACACTTCTAGCAAATCCCCATTTACCTGTAATTGACCTTAAAGAAACTGCTGGTGTGTCGTGACCAATAGGAGCTTCTGGTTGAGGTGTTGTGCTGTCTGGATATCTCTGAGTCTATTCCTGGGAAAGAGGTTTGGTTGAGGTATGTTTTGGTGGTCTGGTCACAGTACCTGGGTCTGGATGCGGTTGAGTCCTCTGAACCAGAGGATCTGTCCCCGGCGCAGCTCTCTCTCAGCACAGTCGATCTCCTCCTCATCATCTGCCATCTCCTCCCCCTCATCGTCCCCGGGCTCCAGGCCCAGCCCCGCCTCCTTCAGGCATGGTAGCCGCTCCGTGGGCACTGTGGCGATCACCTGTGAGCCAGGTTTGTTAAATTGTTATTTGACCAGAAGATGCTCGTATGAGGTTACACTGAGCAGCTTTGAGATTTTCTAACACCGTACACAGATTTAAGCTCTGATTTTCCGCTCTGCAACAGTTTTTGGAGTTCCCCGACAAAATCCCCAGATCAGAAGCAAATGAACGTTGGCTCGGCATCCATCGCACATCGGCGCACGAGCACCATGTTGAACACCGGAGCCCCCCAGTACTGTGTGCTCAGCCCCCTCTTTCACGCTGTACACCCATGACTGCTACAACCAAACATGAAGAGAACTCTGTTGTGAAGTTTGCAGATGACCAGATTACAAACAACAACTTCATAAAGAGACAATCAACAACCTTCAGAGTGGAGCTCAGAGAACAACCTGCTGCTCAATGTCAGTAAAACCAAGGAGCTGATGGTTGATTTAGAAAAAAGGAGGCGAAGACACACATCCCTGTCTACATCAATGGATGAGGTGGAGCAAGTTAGTAGCTTTAAGCTCCTGGGGATCAGCATCACAGACAACCTGACATGGTCCTCACACATCTCCATCCTAAACGACTATTTCTTAAGCAAACTTAAGAAATAGTGATAGATGAAGCAAACCCCGTGGCACAATGAAAGTGAGGGCCAGCGCAGCGGCTGAGGTGGGATCCCGACCCCGCGGCCTGTCTCGCCCGCACCGTCGGGGAGGTAGAGCGTGAGTTTGTGCAACAGGACCCGAAAGATGGTGAACTATGTCTGGGCAGGGCGAAGCCAGAGGAAACTCTGGTGGAGGCCCGTAACAGTCCTGACGGGCAAATCGGTCGTCCGACCAGACTAATGGAACCAGTAGCTGGTTCCTCTGAAGTTTCCTTCAGGATAGCTGGCGCTCACAGTTTTTTCCCCACTGCATTCACGTGAATATGGTGTATAGAAAGTGTTGAATCATAATTCTCGTGGTGCCTACGTTACCTGAAGGCAACGTGGTTGAGGAAGGTCCTCAGCCTTCTTTGTTATGCTGTCACTCATGATGCCACGCCCCTCTCAGTTGATGCCACGCCTCCCACGCTAGATCAGGGTCAAAAGTCTGAATTGAAATGAAACTATCTGAAAGTGAAAAAAAGATTTGAAACCGAAAAAAATAAGATTTTTATCTGAAAATATAAAATCTGAAACTGAAAAATATAAGATCTGAAATATCAAAATATATATGAAAGTGAAAAATTAACAAAAAAAAATGTATTCAAAAAAATTCCAGAACTGAATCAAAATGATATTCAACCCAAAAAACCCTTTTCATTCACTTATTTTAATTTTGAATACATTGCTGTATTTTTCAATGTTCAAGACCACAACTTGAACTTTCAGGTTCACATTTTCTTTTCAAATGATCAAAACTTTTGACCTGGATTTGGCTCCATAGATCTACAGCGGGGGATTCAAACCGCCCAGAACATCACTGGTACCATCTACTGAGCATCAGTGATATTAGTGATGAGAGGTGCCTGCAAAGAGCTAAAGGATATTAAAAGACTAAACCCACCAACACAACCTGTTGCTGTCTGGAGAGACATACAGAAGTATCAGCTGCCAAACCAACAGACTTCAGAGCAGCTTCTTTCCTCTGGCTGTGTGACTCCTAAATTCATCCTCCACCCTCCTTATATGATAACGATAACAATTTGCGAAAACTTGCAAAACCTCCAGCGAGGCCCAGCCTGATGACCTATGGTGGCATTAACTATTCAGGGTCAATGCCTAACCTTGACCATCTTGTGAGAGTTTTGCAAATTGTGGGGTACCACATAGACATGATTGTGCCAACGAACTCAACAAGCACGACTACGCCCGTGTTACTTCTCGTGTGTGTTTCAGTGACAAAACGCAGTTTGTAGAGCAGACATACTCATCAGGGATTCCTCCTGGGGAAAGGTCTTGTAGTGTGTGAAGTCCTGTCGCCGGTCAATCATGTAGTGTAAATAGCATAACAACTTCAAAAGTCCCGATTATAAGACAGCAAGTCATGCAGCGTGAACTTGGCTTCAGCCTCACCTCAGAGAAAAGCCAATGTAAACCAGGCCTACACTTGTTCAGTAGGGCCTGACTCAGCAGCAGGATGAAGAGCTGCTTACCTGTCCCCAGAGGAGCTCCCCAACTCCCACGAACAGACACCAGAGCCACTGCTCCATGTTGAGAGGGGCACAGCTGAAGGGCTTCCCTCCCCACTGCACGATCACGATCTGCAGCAGAAACACAGGGAGGGACGTCATTACTGTCTCACATCCAAACACAGGGTCACAATGTCAGGATGTGTCAACAGTCAACACATCTGTCTTCTAGTCTGTCACAAAGTACAAGGTGGCACTGTCACTGGAAGCCCTGCTGCATCTAATAAACATCAAACCACAATGTGGAACAACACACGCGGACATTTTATGTTTCAGTATTGCATTTCATTATTCATGAGGTATATCTTACCCTAAGTGGCTATTAAGATCATAAGCCGTGCTTTCACAATTTGACTTGGCTAACATCAGGTCATGGAAATGTATCTGTCTGTATACATACTAGGATCATTTTAGGAGAGCATTATGTGCTCTAGGCCGGTATGTATAAATCTGCTCAGAGTAGGTATTTGTTCTTATTTTTAGGATGCTTTGGTTTTTGCTGGGTGTTGAGTGTCATTTAAAGGAAAAGATTATTTTGGGAAATGTGCTCTTCACTTTCTTGCTGAGAGTTGTTGAGAAAATCAAAAGCACTCCAACACCTCTACAGCTCACTAAGTAACTAAGCTTGATTAATCCATATAAAACCAAAGAGAAGAAATGCCGTTGTTGTAGTTTCACAAGAACTCACATGGTATTTCTCAGTGAACCACTATGTTGATAAGTGAACTTAAGAGGTGAAAGTCCATTTTCAAGGTCGGCCAATGAATATATATTCATTCTGTTTATCTGCCAGTGGTGAAACGGCAGCTGTTAGGCTGGAGCAAGTGACTGATTTAGCTAATCAGTTACATAATAACCTGATGTGAACCGAGCAAACGCTCACGACATTAGGAGGTATTGGAGGAAGTTTGCTGATCTACAACCTCTGCTGCTCGGAGCAGCTGGACCATTGACCTCATCATCACCAGACTACAAGTTAAAAAAAACGTCATGTAGTTTCAAAAAAGTGAGCTGACAAAATGTTTGAAATGGCCAAATGCTTTGTGTTTAGTGCTACATTCTTTTAGAGGTACACTTAACAGAATAACACATGAAGTGCTACATCTATGTCCACAGGTGCAGGCTGACCAAACTGTCAGCGTTGCATTGTGGATAATGTAGGCACCAGGTTTTTGTCGATTAAAATAGAAATAAAAAAGACAATATCTTTTTTTTTACTGTCCACTGTGAGTCTGACAATGTTAAAGGAGTGCAAAGAATCTCACTTTGATCAAAGTTACTTCTTTTTGTAAAGCTTCTCAGTTTTACTAAGAATTTCAGACTCATACATCAAAGTCTAGAAGTCTAGGGATCCATCTTTCTTACTTCTCGCTCTCTTTCACCTCTCAAGCTGCCTCCAGTCTTCAGCTCTCTCAACTGTCTCTTCATTGCTCTCACACTCCAATTCAGTGCCATCCCCTCCAACTCTCTCTCTTCTCTTGTTTCTTCCCAGAGTACCACCCAGCACTCAAGAGCTTTAGTAAATATCCCTCTTTTCTTTGCTTGCTTGTCTGGGTTTTTGTGTGCTTAAAATTCCCTCTTCAGCGCATTTCTTTTGTATTCACTTCAACAAATAGTCCTCCTTTTGTTGGTTTGAAATCTAAAATCTGGACTTCTGTGTGGGGTCACAAAGTGAAAGAGAAGCAGTCAAGTAGGGCTGGGCAATATAGCACAAAATGCTTTTTTATATTGATCGATGACAATAATTATCACAACACTGTTCATCTAGTGTTTTTGTAGGTAGAGGAAAACGGATTCAAAAGTAACTTTATCAAAAATAAATCTCATGGATTCTCATGGATGTTAAGGAGGAGGCGGTCCTTGTAAAGAGGGAGAGAGCGGACTCCCCAGTCGAGTTAAAAGAGGAGAAATAGCCTCAGGTAACACAAACCCGTCCAGAAATAGACTTTACAACAAGTGTATTTCCACGATCATCGTTATCGTGGAAGGCTTTATCGTGAAATAGTTATATTACCTAGCCCCACTGTCAAGGCCTGAAAAGAATCACATTGATTTTCTATACTCCAAACTAAGAAGATGACCATCACCAAAACACAGCACCCATCTGTAGAAGACATTCAAGCTTGCATTAGAGATACAGAACAATCACCCAACAACCACTATCACCTTTGAAACGAACACACTAAGTATTGAGTTTGTAATAACAGCATAATACAGTAACAAACAGAGTGAATTAGAAATAAAAGCCTGTGTCTGATATAAGCCTGCTTCAAATAAAGCAATAAAAGTAAATAAAAGCCTTTATTATAAATATATAGAATGTATGGATGAGCATTAGATTCTCAGCTGTATCTAATAAAGTGGCCACTAAGTGTTTAATACATACAATATGTAGTGAAATAACACAAGATTTTTCATACTGACATTTACATGTCATGGCAACATTCAGTTTAAAAAAAATTGTCAGCAATTTTGACTTATTTACCTAATTGGATCCACATTATCCACTATCAAGTATGCAACTACTCTTCCTGGGGTCATATTGAACTATTAAAAACAGAACAAGATTTTTTTTTAGGGGTACGGATTTCAAACAACATAAACATAACATCAACATACCAAAGACCAAGATCAAAACCTCAAAATTCTCGACCAAACAGTGAAGAAAACCGTCTAAGGACATCAAAGGTTAACCTTACCTGCACGGCGAAGGTCCCCACAACAATGCTGCAGAAGATGGGGTTGGCAAATATGCCGTCGAAGACATTTCTCTCTCCGTGGATCTTGCGAGCATTGATCTCGTTGAAAAGTTGCATGAGGACGAAGGTGTTGAAGATGATGGTGTAGTGCTCAGAGGGAGGGGAGTGGAGCGGAGCGTGCCGGCCGCTGTCGATGTTAAAGATGCGCTCGCCTGGAGGGTAAATAAAGGAGGAAGAAAGGATTAGAGGTGTGAAAAAAAGAACAATTGTCAGTTGTGCTGCTCATGAGGAAGTGTGTTTGATCTTCTGCAGGAGAAATAAACAGCTGTGTATTTGTGTGTCTGTCTCCACCAAAGCACCTTTTTGTTTCTTCTCTTGGATTTCTGGTTAAAAGCACGCTGGAATATAAGCCCACTCATTCTAATTCCACAAGAAGTCTACTGATCAAAGCGAGCTATTTCGGGCTGTTTATATAGTAAAATTGCATTCCTGGTTGTCTCAGTGTGTGTGTACCTAAGAACAGTAGGGTGAAAATGATGACCAGCTGGTACACTCCATGGCCCAGGATGTTCTTCATCATTGTCAGTGAGATGAGCGGGTTGTTCCGACCATAGGGTTTCCGTAGCAATAGGTCCTCAGTGGGGGGCTCGGTGGCCAGGGCCAGAGAAGCAAACGTGTCCATGATGAGATTCACCCACAGCATCTGCACCGCCTTCAGAGGAGAATCCTGCAAAGAGATTTGCAACCAGAGAGCTGTGTCACAAACCATGTTCACAGGAGTCTGGCTTCACAGACACTGGGGATAGTCACTGTGAGAAAACTGCCTCCCTTTCCACAAGACCCTGATTCACAGTTCTTTCATGTATGTAAAGTCCATAGAAATAGAATAGGAGTAGAATGGACATTCCCATTCAAATCAACGCAGCAGGATGATCAGAGTGGAGGCCATTTGTATGTGTACTGCTATAGTTGCTTGGGAAATGCTAGTGTTCTTGCTCTATGGGCCCATGGATGCGGAATTCTATACTCGGAAGTCCAACTTTTTTGCTTCATGTGCTACTGAGCAACTTTCATAGGAATGAACAAGGCCATGCCTCCATTGCTGTATCAGTTCTATTTATACATCCATGGTTATAGCGGGCTAACTTACATAAAGGCTAAACCAACTCACTCACTGTGGTGAGGTTTTGCTCAAACGACAGAACGAGCAGTGGAGTAGTAGTAAATGAGTAAATGAATAACATTGAACAACTATGCTTCATCCACACACTCTTGCAAAAGCACATTGCTATCGCAGGATGAAGGAATTGGCTTTTTCTTTGTAACCAGTATGGAATTAGCAAGCTAGCTAGCTAGCAGACAGCTGGCTATTTAGCTAGTGTGCTAATTCCACCATGCTTGAATGCTACACTGGTTACAGAAAATGAGCCAGACAGGGGGTTGGTGGCCAGTGGCAGCTTTGGGTAAAATGGTCCCTCCGCCTCACTCTCCGCAATGGAGAAGGACAACGCTACCTAGCTAACTAGCCAGCTATCTCACCGAAGGTGCGTCGGCTCTCTTCCTGGCGAGCTGCAACTACACTTTACGGCCCCACTGACAAGGTTGGTACCATAACAACTAAACGCAATCACCATTTTCTTTTGTACTCGTCAAATGTCCACAGAAAACAGTTCAATGTCTCTTTCACTCCTTCTTCTATTTCTATGGATAAATCACTAATTTTAGTCCAGTGCTTGAGTTAATCTGTAAATATATTAGTCAGGTTATAGAATTAAAAGAACAAGTTTGTTTCATTTGTGTAGTTTTATTTCTGTTCCACAGGGTTATGATCTGATAGAGCAGGTCAGATATACTGTAGTGATGTACTACATGTACTTCCTCTTGTTGATCTACTCAATCAGTGAGAGTGGAAACAGGTGTGTGCATGATGGTGCTCTAAGCAGTGAGTGGCTTTGCACAGTGAAGAAGCAGAAGGAAGGGTAAAGCTGTTGTGCAGTGAATGGGGCACTCATGGATGTGTGTGCTCATGGATAAGATTGTGATTGTCAGCGGTAACAGAGGACTCTTTGAATTACTTTTTTTTCTTACTGTGTATTTTTTTAAAGTTTGTATCAATCTAGCTCAGGGAGTGTCAACCTTTTGTAATTTAAGGCCCACTGCTGATAAAACAAAACAAAACAAACTAATCCAAGGAAATGATAAAAAACACAACATGACAAAAAAGGAGAAAAAAAAAACTGGGCTGTAAATATGAGTTGTGAAATAAAATATAAATATGAGTCAAGTTTTTTCTGTAGTTGGTTGAAGAGGATGTAGTTCTTTCACGCGTTTTGATCAAGAAGCCTGACCAGGTTTGTTCTGCAGCATACAGTTGGCAAAAGCTCAAGTTATCTTTGCAAACCCTAAAAACTGGGATTAACCAAGCAATTTTGTATAATTATTAGGACTGGTCATTTCTTTTACATTCAAAGCTTCTATTGCAGTTTCTTCGAATGAAGCTTTGAATATCTAGCGTCATATTTTATGATGTCATCACCCATTAAGGGATAATATAAATGTAATTTATAGTGCTGTTAGATTGCTGCTAGACCGCTCTGTTAATACCGGGGCAGACCTCTCTTTGTGTGAAGTAAGCCGGAGAGTGAAATGTTGTTTTTGAAAGGCTAAACGCCAGCAAATATGGATTGAAGCAGAATATTTTGTTAAACAAAAACACAATCAACACATCCATCTTTTTTAAATACATTGTGACTTTTGGACAACCTATAATATTAGTGTAGACGGATCTTTATCTGCAACTGCGCAGCAGTACCAGCTCTAAACACAATGAATACACATGCAAAAAAAAAATAACTTGCGCAGCATTAGAATGTTATTTTGGATTCAAAGGTCAACTTTATGAATGAGACTTTGAAGTTTCGAGCTATTCGGTATAGCCCTAATCTGTAAAATGAATGATGATAATAATATTAATACTGAAAATGTACAGACATGTATATAGTTAGCAGCAGAGCTGTTATGGTGATAACTAGGTCTGCAGTGATTGTTTTCATTATCATGGGATCTGATGACTATTGTCTTGATTGCTTGATTAACATCTGCTCCAAATGTCAGAAAGTATCGCGGGTGTATTAGGTAGCTATTTTTTCTCAAAGATCATGGCTAAACTTGATATTGTTGATGGTCTGGTCCCTTTTTTTTCTTCATGTTTGTCATGCTTCATATTTGGGACCATAGTGTTTATACCAAGACAAGGGATCCAGTAATTGTAAGTTAAATATCAATATGTGTCAATATGTTTTTCTTTTGTCTGATAATGTTCTGGATGGGGAGGTGATTAACGACTGAGAAAAAGGGGAAATCTTGCTCTTTATGTATTTAACTTTCCATATAAATATATTGCAAATACATTAAATGCATAAAAGCATACATATGCAAGTTGATATTTCTTTCATATCAAACGTGTAAATGTTTCCATGTGTGTCAGGACGTCTCTGCTTATATAAGGATGGTGTAAGAAATGCATAAAAAGCATTTTAGCATTTGCCTTGTCTAAGCAGATATAACATGAGTGATGTTTACTGAAGTGACGTCTACGTGCATGTATAAATCTGTCTACCTGAGTGATGCAGGCGCCGGTGAAGGCCACTATGACAGCCACTACGTTGACCGTGAGCTGGAACTGCAGGAACTTGGAGATGCTATCGTAGACATTTCGTCCCCACATCACCGCCTTGACAATGCTGCTGAAGTTGTCATCAGTCAGGATGATGTCCGACGCTTCTTTAGCCACGTCTGTTCCAGCAATACCCTGACACAGATTGAGACAGAGTGAGGAGGAGACTGAGACGCATTACGTATTTTATGCCAGCGTTCAAGCATCCAAATTATTTCGGAGTGCTACTGCCTCAATATCGTGTTGTCCCATCTCCAAGTGCTAGCGCTTGGCGTGAGTAAGAGCTGTGACCAAATGCACATTATTCAAAATATTAAGCATGTATTATTTATAGGTAGAGAAAATTTCTAAAATTCCTCATATTTTCTTGAACGTATTAGTTATCTTATGTCATTAAAGGGATAGTCCAGAAGTTCTTCTTCATCTATTGTACAGACAGGAGAACCAGCACAGGAGTAAAGTAATGTACTGCTGTGATGTATTTTAGACACCTAATAGCAGTTTAAGTGTAGCTATATTTATTATATTTTCACCTCTTTACCTTTCTGTCAGACAGTCCTTTCTGACGAGGACTGAAGCTGTTATCTGTGCTCTCTTCAAAGTCACTTTGACAAAAACAGTCATTTGAGCTCACAGAAAGTAGGAGCTTCTGGTCTATTGCTGCCTCGATTGGTTTATCGTCTGTTTAGTTTATTGTGAGACTTTGGTGAATCCAAACTAACCACACGAAGTACACGAACAAACAAACCGATGGAGGCAGCGGTAGACCATGTGACCTTGTGCTGCAAGGTAAAATGACATGATGTTTTTGTCAAGGGAGTTTGTGGCTTTGAAGAGAGCATTAACTGCTTCAGACTGCTTCAGTGCCTCGTTTGACAGCAAGGTAAAGCTGTGAAAACATTCTAAATATAACGTACATTTGAACTGATGCTGGTACTCCTGTCTGTTTCTCATACAGCCACACTTCAAAACATCCAAATTATAGCTTTAATATATTTATTAACATATATAGTGGGCATTTGTTTCCCAAATTGAATTCATATACTTCTATGAGATTAGATTATTGTAGCTACAGAAGGGTTTTAACACCAAATAAACATTAATGGTGAATAATATATCAGGTTACCATGGCAAAGCCCACATCAGCCTTCTTCAAAGCTGGTCCGTCATTGGTTCCATCTCCTGTTACTGCGACGACCTGTCTTTGTTCTAGGGCGGTGCTGTCGATGATTCCTAGACACAAACAGAAGGGAAAGATAGGCTCTCATCTGGGTGGATGAATACGTGTGTGTGTGTATGTTTGGGTTCATAAACTTGAGACTCACCTTTGACCAGGGTGTGTTTGTCGGTTGGTGAGGAACGCGCCAACACGCGAAGTTTGGGCCAGATTTTGTCAATACGTTCCTGTTCAATCTGTCAGTCAGATAGAGAGAAGGGGGGTTGGGGGGGGGGGGGGTTATGATGATGAATAACACCACAGAGAACCTATTAGCTATCCTCTTCTCTCACTATATGTCACTATTGATCCAGAGTATTGGATGGAGGATAAAGCATCAAAGAAGCACTGTGAAATTGGCTCTTATTCATTGCCAAGTAGGTTTTCACATACAAGGAATTTGCCCCGGTGTTTTGGTGCATAACAATAACAAATAAAAGCAAGAACTGCAAAAAGTCAAGAAACATAAATAGAGAGTAGAAAAACTACAAAGTTCACAGTATTAAGTATTAAAAATATTTGCAAAGTACAGAGAAAATAGTCCAAAAGATGTGTGAATGTGTGTGTGTGTGTGGGGGGGGGGGGGGGGTCCTGGGCCTTGTTGATGAGACCAGCTGTTGTGCTCTCTTGAAATCAATACAACCACACTACTCTTACATAATGGTAATTTATACACATCAGTGTAAATAGAAACGCACAGCCACGTCACAAGTCAGCAGTAAGCATTCTGTTCAGTGCAAATGATAAAGTGAAATGGTTTTGATGAAACAGAGCTTTTACGGATGTTGGCTTCAACAGTGTGCACTAACCACAGTGGATGCAGGAATATCAGTGGTGATATGTGACGGGAACCTCCACACATCAGACATATTTGTGAGGATTTGACCATGAATACGGCTTTAGTTTGTTATCTTTGCACAATAAATTTATTTGTTAGTTATCAAAACAGCTTACAGTATAACAGTGGTGGGATGTGGTACTGAAGTACTAATTTGAGGTACTTTGTTTGAATAATTCCATTTATGCAACTTTATCTCTGTACTCTTTCACTGTACTACATCCCAGAGGTAAGTATAGTACTTTTTACTGTACTACACCTCAGAGGTAAGTATAGTACTTTTTACTCCACTACATCCCAGAGGTAAGTATAGTACTTTTTACTGTACTACATCTCAGAGGTCAGTATTGTACTTTTTACTCCACTACATCTCAGAGGTAAGTACTGTACTTTTTACTCCACTACATCTCAGAGGTAAGTACTGTACTTTTTACTCCACTACATCACAGAGGTAAACATTGTACTTTTTACTCCACTACATCACAGAGGTAAACATTGTACTTTTTACTCCACTACATCACAGAGGTAAATATTGTAAAACCACGTATCTCCAGATGTATTGATGTTGAATGTTTGTAATAAACTGAAGGATGAAGTGTTCCTTTATGTCTTGAGAAAATCCTCCTACTTCTTCAGCTAAATAAACTCTTTAAAAAGCCTCTTGGATCAGCTGGAAAATACATCGTCACAGAGATGAAAACAGACTGTTCTTTTTGGAGATACGTGGTTCTCACAGGACAGCGACGCTACAAACACATGATGATCTTATAGAATATGATGCATTGATGTAGATCAAAGGAATTCAATATATCTACAGCAGTAAAAGGCAACATACACATTATTGCAGCAGAAATATAAATAATATAAAACTCAGACAAGGAACATTTTACTGTACAATCAATACTTTTACTTGAAGTGAATTTTACTGTTAATACTCAACTTACTTTTACTTAAGTAAGGTTTTGAATGCAGAACTTTTATTTGTAGTTGACTATTTTCACAGTGTGGTATAAGTACTTTTACTTAAGTAAAGGATCTGAATACTAGATACAAAAGTAACTAGATTAGTAAGTAGATTTACTAGAGTACTGTACCTAAATACAATCTTGGGGTATTTTTGTGCCACTTTAGTCCTCTACTCATTTACAATAATTCTACTTTTTACATTAAGAAAATATGATAATCCTATAAAATACAAGTTGTTACAGATTAAACAAATAGTTTCTAACCTCTTGGGTTTATGATTTCTTATACATTTTTTTTTTTTAAACAACAAAAGAAAAGATTATAAAAAAGTTCCAAAAAGGAAAATCCAAATTTGTGTATCATCTCACATCATCACATCACATTAATCATGTGACACTTTGGAGGGTCCAGACCCCAAGGTTGGGAACCAATAAATACACTGTAACGAATTGCTGTAAATTTACGGCGGATTTTCAACGGTATCTTACAGTATTTCATTATAACTGTAGCATACAGTTAAATGTTTATCCCTCGCATGTAAATTAACAGTTAATGCCATAAATTATCAGTTAATGCTGTAAATTAACAATAACAGCTGGCTACTGTAATTTAACAGCATGATACAGTATTTTCTGTGAAGTGGTGGAAATAAGCTTCTCTATACAAGTTCAGTGAATCACAATCCATCTACATCGTACTGTCTATTGTAGGTTAATGTGTCTGTAATGAAGGTAGAATATTTTTAGTATTCAAACTGTTCATTGCTACAAGTCATTTTTGAGTGACAAGACGTGAACGACTGCTCCTGAACGTGACTTTGGACACAGCAGCTTCAGTTCATCCTTCTGAGCACAGCCAGGTGGAGATCAACTGAGGAGCCGAAATCATCCGAAATTCAAAGTCTCCAGTATTGTTTTGTCTTCATGAATATTGAATTGTTAACATCTCAGATAATGTTTCACTTTGTCTGTTTCATTACATCAGGTTGCTAATCTTGGTTGCTAGCTCTGTAACGTCAGCTAGCTCGAGCTAAATTAGCCTTAGAAAGGTTAGCTAGCTAACAGCATAGCAAGTTAAGTTAACATAAATAAAGTTAATCATCCATTACAGTGTTAAGATGTAACGTTAGTAACCAAACTTGTGTTTACTTGTGCTCTTATTGAACCGACTGTAGGACCGGAAACAGGACGATTATCAACATGGAGAGCGGACGTCTTGAACACACGTCGGGGATTTCTGCCCGACGTGTGTTCAAGACGATGAACAGTTGAGGTAACGCTAACAGTAACGTTAGGAGCAACATTAAAACTAGATCAAACTCATTTTAGTGTTGAACGTTAGTCCATTGTGGTCCATTGTCTGAGCTTCATTTCTTCACCTAACGAAATCAGCTCATCACATAGTCTGTTGATTTAAACTGTATGGTATTGCTGTATTAGCTTTTTGCAAAGACTTGCACTGATATGTTAACATGTGTGAGGCACATGCAAACCCACAGTTGCACACCCAAAGCTTATTTTAAGTATGTTTATCCTGGATGTCAAAGAACTTTCCAGAAGTTCAGAACATTGTGTTTCTCAAGTTTTTATTTTGTTTTACAGTCACTCATCATCAGAGATTGAGGATACCAGCCAGACGCTGCAGTCAAGTCCTCTTTCAAGGTTCTTGCTCCTTATTGTTTTCATTCATGTGTGAGTTCATGCAGTTCAAATTAACTATAAATGTGTATAAGACTTGTTAACAAGCTAGACTGTGATGCAGTTCTATTAAATTGTTCTTGATACTATTTTAATTCAGCGTTTCACTCTTAATGCTATTTTTATTCAGTTACACTGTTGATGCTAATGAGTTCAGTTAAGCTGGTCATTAATGATTTTATTAGTTTATTAGTTTTCTTCTAAACATGCAGTACATTGTGAGTTTTGTGATGTAATACAAATGTCCCTTTATTGTTTGTCCTGAGAACATGTATTAAACTGCAACAATTATGTATTGAATGTCTATTGTGATTATTTTATTTGTTGGGAATTAAATGCAAAAGTATTGGGTTGTGTTACCCTTTGTAAATAAACAGTAACATTCTGGCATATACCATAAAATCACAGTAAAACCCAGTTATCCTACTATTTTTACGGTGAAATTGTTTATTAAGTGTATTGTAGCGTATTGTTGTAACCAGCACCACCTCGAGCAGCTACAACAGTAAAATGCTACTTACTCATTAATGCATCAGTTGTAACAATAAAAAAAGAGATAAAGTATGTTGATGTTTGAGGTTTGATGCGCACATCTGAACTAGGAATATATAACTGAGATGATTAGTCGACCAATCCAACAGTTGATCAACAACAAAATCCTTCACAACCTTTTTTGATAATTGATGAATGGTTTCAGTCATTTTACAAGCAAAAATGCCCACTTGAGACCCCAACTTACCTCTCCTTTCTCGTTCCTGATTCGTCGGTTGAATTCCTTGCCATCTATACAGATAAAGTCATCCCCAGGGTGGATGATGCCACATTTAGCAGCAATGGCCCTCGCTGTGTTAATGTTATCACCAGTCACCATCCGCACCGTGATGCCTGCACGCTGACACTTACGGATGGCCTCAGGCACCTTAGGGGGACAGGGAAATTTGTTCACACAAAAACACAATGCCAACAGGAAAAGTTCACTCATTAACGTGCATATCTCAGCCAGGCGTGTCTCTCTCTCCCCTCCCAAACAAAGAAGAGTTGAATCTCACTCAATTTTTCGTCACAACTCCCTTATGGTCGCGCTGATGGCGAAGAAAAAAAAGACAGGGATTTAATCATCCTGTATTACGTCTGATGTTAGTGGATCATAGCATATCAGGGATGTAATAAATCTGCTTCAAAATGAGACCAAACTTTTCTATGGATGTCAGTTTTTGAGGCACAACAAAGGCCTAAAACAAAGCCTGCAATAGATAGGTCAGGCTTGTTTTACCCTAACCGATTGCTGGAAATGTTTTTTGCTACTGAGGCAGTTGTCGATCACTTGCAGCACCTACCGGCCGGTTAAGAGGAGTAATTACTCAGCAGTCAATGATGGTATAAATAGTCAAGAAAATTGTTTTTTTAGAAACTGTAAATCACCTCAACCACAAGAGGTCCTTGAGCATGCAGTCATAAATGAGCACAAAAAATATGAGGCTGATTGGTCCAGCAGAATGTGAGATGAGCTGTGGACAGACGGACAGATACACACACACACACACACACACACACACACACACACACACACACACATGACAGAACGCATGATCTTCCTAAAGGCTTAAGCCTGGCGGAAATAGTTACTTTTAGAAATACAACTTATAATCACATATTATGGATAGCCATAGTAGCAGCTGAAACTAAAACTAAACAGGACCCTACCTCAGGCCGCACAGGGTCCTCTATCCCAACCACAGTGAGGCAGGTCAACTCCGTCACTATTTCTGCTTCGTTTTCCCAATCTGGCTCCGGGTTAGATGGCAGGTCCCGGTATGCAATGCAGATGGTCCTCAACCCCTCACATGCCATTGACTCAATCACCTAGTTAAAAGTCATTAGTACAAGTATGGTCAGGAAGGGCTCCACAAAATCTAACCACAGCTTAATTTACTGATTACAGACATGTTATTTACATTCCAATATCTGATGCAGAAAAAATGGATCAAAATGCTTGCATACAGTTTGTTGTCAGATGACTTTTTGAGTGCCTTTGTGGGGATGCTCTCTGACACAGCTGTAGGTAAAAGACCTCCAGCCTACTGCGGACAGCAACCGTCGCTGCTGTAAGTCCCTAATATGATGTGGCGACACAAAGCTGCTGCAATGCAAACTGAACAGCTGAGCTGGAATAAAGTTGTGTATGGAGGAGAGCTGTTTTTACTCAATGCACAGGCTGTGTTCATAGTGAGCCAAATGTAGGTCGGTCAGCCTGTCAATGACACAATGCTTGCGCTCCCTGCATGGACTAATCTACTGTACGTGGAACAAATACATGTGTTTTGCTGCTAAATATTTCAGTTACAACGAGACTGATCTGGCAAAAGCAGATTTATATATAACAGATTTGGAATGTATACAAGTCAGTCTGCTGAACATAGTGGAGCATTTAGCAGCTAAAGATATCTCCCCTGGGAGTTGTTTGAGACCAAAAACAGAGTTAGAAGAGATTGAATATTGGACCTATATTCATCAGGTGGACACAAACACCAGTTCACAAACTGATAATGTTGCTGTGTAACTGCTGGATGTGTAAATAAACACATTTACCATATCAACTTACAAGATCACTTCTTATCATAAAGTAGCATATCCAATGCAGGAATTTTACTTGTAACAGAGTTTTTTTTCACAGTGTTGTATGAGTACTTTTTTCTTAAAGGATCTAAATACTTCCTCCACCACAGGTTCAAATATGAAAAGGAGAGTTTGTCAGGTCATAGAAACAGTAGATCGATTTTTCTCTCATAAAGTTACTGCACAACTTAAATTTGCTTTTCGTGTGTGCAGTGTCTCTGTGTAGCCTACACTGAATCAATAGCATTCCATTTAACAAGGAAGCGACAATAATAATGATTAGTACTAAATAAGTGATGACAAATTAGTCTGAAATAAAGTTTGAAGATGGGAAGGAGCTGATTGGCTGGCCTGAAATCCATATTACCATGATGCCAAAACATCTGTCATTTCTTAAAAGTAAAGCAATTTGAGCAGTGAATATAGTAATATAAAATTTGTTTTATATGTTATTACTATTGTTTATAAGCATTGTAATACAGACCCGTGTTGTGAGGAGATCACACATGTGCATCGTTTTGAAAATGCTCTTAAAAAAGCTCAATTAAATAAAGTAAACTCAGTGATAATTTGAATGCGATGATAAGTGATGAGGTAAAAGCACTCTATCCAAACTCTGGACTCATTTTTTGTTTTATACAGCCCAGAGGATAATCCAGCAAAAGGATTTTTATTTATTAATTTATTTTATTTTATGTAGAATAGTTAAAAGTGCAAACAGTAAAAATATTGAAGGATTTTACATTGAATAGCTTATTGGCGTTATTGTCATGACAACGTTTCGGCCTTAGGGAACCATTCTTTTACAGTCAGACTCATCACTCATCATTATTTTCAATATTTGTAAATTGATTGCTGGAGCAAACACGTTTGAAAACGCGCAACTTTTACTTTGAAGGCGAGCTGTCTCCGTTTTTCCGACTCTTGACTTCCTTTCCTCAATTTTCTATTTTTAAGGTGGTTAATGGAACAAGCTGATGTTTTGGTGTAACGTGTTTATTCAATGAGACAATAACACAGACTAAGTGTTAACCGCGTTAATGCAGCTTCGGCTATTGAACAACGAACTCACATGTAGCAGAATACATTTACATTAACACAAGTAGTCCGATGAGATTAGGCAAAAGTCAAAATGTATTGAAAAAATAACATTCACATTTTTATCGAGCAAAAGTTTCAGCTTCAATCCATATTTGTGGACAGTGACCTTGACATTTGACTTCCAAAATCAAATCACTTCATCCTTGAGCCGAGATGGACATTTGTACCAGATTTGAGGAAAGTCCCTCCAAGTTCTACTGAGATATCGCGTTCACGAGAATGGACCGGAGAGACGGAGGTCTGGACAACAGGAAAGCATAATGACTCCAGCGTGGAGGCATAGAAATGACACTCAGTACTGCCCTTTCAGGACATTGTTCTGCACATCGGAGCTTTCAGTATTTGGTCTCACCTGTTTGACCATCTCATCTCTGTCACGTGGACGGAATGAGCGTGCTTCTCCGTTGGCATCTAGGATGAAAGAACACCTAGAGAAAGATGAAGGACAGAAAATAGTGAGAGACTAGATTACTCATTAATAGAACATCTATTGTCTCTTACATTTAACATTTTTAACCCAGTCCCCTGTGAACTATTTTTGCCTCTACTTATTCATGAGATGTCATGTTTTGCCCCAGACCACCTCCCCCACCCTCTTCTAACACTCACTTCTTCAGCAGGATCTCAGAGGCTCCTTTGCTGTAGAGGCGGAAGGAACCGTCAGGCAGCTTGATCACTGTACACATGGATTTACGCACTGAGTTGAATGTATACACCTGAGAGAGAGAGAGAGAGAGAGAGA